GTCTTCTCTTGCTACCGATGGTAAGGATAGACATGGAGGTAATACGGACAACACAAAAACAAGCGAAGCGAAAATATGACGCGCGTTATCTGTGGAAGGGAGCGGTTAGTTATCGCATCCTTTTTTTGTATCTTGGAGCCTTGAACAGACAAGGGCGGAAGCAAAGAATAAATACTATACTTGATAACAAACAACGAGTTTTAGTAATATTGTAGGGAATCTAGGTTTCAGCACCGTTTTCATGCCGTTTTTGCAAAAAAACTTTCTGATGTGACACGTCTTAACCCAATCAAAATGGACCATTTCTCCAAATTCCCGATAATGAACGGCCCAGGGGCCCGTTTCTCGAAAGTCCCGGTAACTTTTACTTTTACTTTTATCAAGTATAGTATTCATTCTTTGCTTCCGCCCTAGTCTGTTCAACGCTCCAAGATACAAAAAAAAATGTAATAACTAACCGCCCCCTTCCACAGATAACGCGCGTCATATTTTCGCTTGGCTTGTTTTTGTGTTGTCCCTGTTACCTGAAAGCTCAACACAGGCTCCTCCCAGCCGTTACGTTACAAACAATAGAGACCTTTAATTTCTACGGTGATAATTCTTGATTTTAACATTTCCTTTTAATTACATAATCTAATACTAGGAGTAATCGGAGCTTAGGAGAGTGCGTTCGATATGTTTGTTAGGCGTACAGGTTGCAGTTGAGGCGGAAGGGTGGCTGCGATATAGATAAATATGATTATGGCATATTTTGAACGTAAGGGTTGCGTACAGAGAAACCTCTGTTGAAACTGTGTATCATAAATTATAGGAACGTTTTCAAAAGATATCGTACGCTTCGGTGTCAAGTGCTTGTAATCGGAAGAGACGTTGGCCAGAGTGCGTAGGGCGTGTAAATGGAACATTTTGTTTTACTGGCGTGAGTTACAGGGCGCAGTTGCTCAAAGGCCGATTAGTCCTTAACCCGGGATTCTCCTTTCTTCAAAAACATTTCTTCGGATAATTTTCTCTGTTATTTTTAAGAGCATCCAATCATCAACGTGTTGACAAAATGAATTACATTGAATTTCATGTTTTAAAAGCTTTCACATCTGAATTCAAACTTCGCTCCTGTCAAAGCCTTCAAGGGAACGTGTGTGCGGCTCATGTCAAAAACTTTTCCAGTAATTTGGTCGAGCGTGTTGACTTCAGTGACTCGAAAGTGGCGCTACTGTTGGCTGGTTTATAAGTTTTTCCTAATAAGTAACATAGAGTTAAAGTGTTCGTTTGTCCGGTGCCGAAAATATCCCAAGTCATGATCAAATTGCGCCGCCGAGCTTCACATCTCGGTAGATTTACTTTGTGGCACAACGGCTGCCGAGCTACACAACTCGGTAGATTCAATTTGTGACACAACGGCCGCCGAGCTACATAACTCGGTAAATTTACTTTGTGGGACAACGGCCTCCGAACTAAACCCGGTTTGATGCATGCACCAGGCGTCGCAGACATTTTCCAAAGACAGTGACGAACCATGCAGAAAAATATGAAGGCTTAATCCAAAGTAAAATTTAACAGCAAACTTCTGAAAGATGAACGCTTTGGACGATTCAGCAAACACAGATCGATGTACGCTTTACGAAGATTCAGCAAACTTTTTAAAAGATGAGCGCTTTACGAAGCTTTGACTTGACAGAATAACAGACCTCAGCAAACCTTGGAAAGATGAACGCCGAGGACACAAGAATTGCCACATGGGTTAGCGCGTCAAAGTGAGGCAAACTGGCGTAAGCAAGCACCTCAAAGCAAGGCAAATGTGTGTCGACGACGACGACGAAAATGCAATCTCAAAAAAATCTCTCTTATTAATTGCACAGGACACCCAATAATGCACAGAACCCCCAACACAAATTAGCGGTGGCGTTCTCGTACCTCGAACGCAATAATTCCTGGAGCCTATTTTCTTATCTCCTAGGTTATCGACTATAGATGTTGCAATATGTCTTATGTTGAACAGGTGTTTTCAATTAGTTTCTTGCGATTCATTTGATATGCTGATGCCTGATTTAATTTAAAACTTCCTATTTTTTAATGACATAATGCAATCTATGAAGCTCTAGGGGACCGGTCATTATTTATCACCTGGGGGGGGGGGG